TGATTCTAAAAAAAGCTTGCTTTAATATCAGCGAAAGTAGAACAAACAGCTTAAGACACAGAGCGTAAAAACACTTTAAAATGTAGGCTTGCAGCCAAAAACTCGAGAAAATGAAAATTTCTTTAAAAACCTGTCAAACTATCAACCATCTGACAGCCAAGTCAGCGTGCTATCAAAGGGTCTCAAATTTATCCCAATGCCCGTGGCAAACATATTTAAAATCAGGCCAACTTTTGCAAAATTTATTCGCAAGACGAATGCCCCTCCGTTACACTTTTCACGGACAAAACAAAGAACCCCTTTTGTTTCATATCAAACTGAATGCCACCGGTTCAGTCTTCTACCGCCCATCAGAGCTACTTGGAAATTTGTCATAACGCTACTTGCAGACTGCATCTAAGCCAAAAATACTTTGTAACGCAATGAGGTCACAGCTCTAAAAGAGTTGAAACAGACTCTGCTTTAAACTTCACCGAAGAAACACAACAATGCATCATGAATAAGACAGAAAAAACAAAGAGGCCAAAGTGCAACTCAACAAGAGAGTTCACTTCAAACCTCTCAAAGCGCCGAGAGTAAAAAACACATAGGAAAGGGTTAATGATATCATTGACCAAATGCATCAGGGAAAACACACTGATGGCTTAGAAATGGCTTTCACAAACTCCCAATATCCGCCTTTGGATACACAATTAGCCACTGCCGAAAACTATTTTTACTAATCACCCGATCATTTCTCACAAAAAAGGAAAATCCCGTACGACAAGCAAAAATACAGTTCGAAGACGATAAAGCGATGCGACAACAAAAGCCACATGGGGAGTCTGTGCCATTCTGCGTTTATCTTTATTCGCATGGCAAAAATTCATCATTTGTCGGCGCAAAACTATCCACAGAAGCTTCAGATTATTTTTGGGACAATTCATCATGATCTGAAAAAGTCGACATTTCCCGACTGACAACGAAACAGTTCTCAAAAAAGTAATATGTGTGATTCTCTGTGCAGCAAACAAAGATAGTTGTGACAAAGCAAAGCATAAGTTTGTTGAGCCTTTGACATCATGATGACGTTTTTGCAGGCTCAGCTGGAACATGTTTTCAGCAATAGCAGACGATTTTTGGACGACTTTGAAGCAGTAAAAATTGGTCATCGAAGGTTTGTTTTGAGTTTTCAGTGGCAAAGAGGGTCTTAACTTGACCCAATTCAACATTTTGTAAACAATTTAGACCAAAAATTAATAAAATGGTCAGTTTTCGTCTCAGGGGCACTTTAAGGAAAATCTTTGATCAAATGATCCAAAATTTGGTTACATACTTAAAACAATTTAATTAAAGATCACACCAAGATTGCAACTGCAATCTCAAATTCACTTACCTTAGAAGCATCAAATTCTTCTTCACCTGGGTAAGGTGTGTTCAAATTTTTGGATCTTGCATCAAGGCGAGCATGGGTCTAAAAAGAAATGAATTCATAAAAACTTCATCTGAAAAAGGCTATAGCCATAGATATATAGTTATGTAGGTCATAACATCATAGTATACTTAACAAATAGAGAAGCCTTGACTGTGCTCTGTTCTGTTGTTAAAGCACGCAGGAAGTGGCTAGAGCACTAAAGAAGTCTATAGGGAGAAACACTCAACTACATCTCATGTTTCTACCCATTGGACTGTCCATTTCATTTTAATAACATAACCAAAGTAAAGCGCACGCTCTGATTGGTCAATAATTTAGCATGCCCCATTTGCCCCATGGGTGTATGCAGCTGACATGAGCAAATGCAAAGACTATTTTTCAGCGCGCGCTTGTTTTTTCTGGTCACATAAGATTTGTTAAATAAAAGGGAACTCTTTAGCTACAATGTATCAATGTTATGTTATAAAACAAATGGTAAACACCACAGCATACACTATTGAGTTATGGATACACTTGGGAGGTTTGCTAAGCACTCAAGAACCTAGAGTTGGTCTCGGCTATCGCCTCGAGCCACTCTTACGCTTCTTTCGTGCTTAGCAACCTCCCGCGTACATCCATAACTCAATAGTGTACGCTGTGGTGTTTACCATTTGTTAACTCTCTTTGAGGATTTTCATCTCTGCACATTACGTTAATACAAATTATGGTCCTTGCCATGTTTACAAACCTCTATTTGGTTCTTCTGTTGCTACTTGCCCACTTGCTAATATTCTGAAATTTCACTTTTAATTAACGAAAAAAAACTAGACATGGCACAAATTGGCAGATGGGCCATGACAGCTTTAGCTCAGCTCCATGCTCTATACTATGATATAGCATGCCCTTTCAACCAAGGACACTGCCGGCTGTATCCAAACTTTATTATAAATGTACACATAGTTAAGAAAAAACTTTTCTAAGTATTTCTAGAAAGAAAATAGAGAAAAAAAAAATAATGCTGCTTCTATTAATAGTAGTTTTGGAACACAGTGGAGTACTAACTATATCCTTGTATCATTTAAATGCATTAGTGTAGATTCATAATAGAAAAGTGACGCAGGTTCTGGCTTTAAATTTGGTTATTCTGGAGAGATAAGACAGCCTTTTTAGTTCCCTTAGTTTTTTAAATGTCTGATCAATTATGAATTTAGAGTTATAACTGCACTGAGTGGAACGGTTGGAAAGGCAAATATCTGGCACAGTTGGACAAGAAAATATCTGGCATAGACTCATAGGTTCCAATAGGTTCTTATATCTTAGTTACTTTTCCCATAATTTTATCTTATGATATTGTGAAGTGCGACTGAATATATTCATATAGAGGTCTGTGCTACATAAATGTACATTATTATTATTAATTATTATTATCATGACATAGGGAAAAATACAGAGAGGTCTGTGCATCGTGAACAAAAGCCAAATATTTTCTTGTCCAGCCCAACCAGTCAGTCAACAACCACTAATCAGATGACCAATCAGTGTCGAAAGTTTTGAAAATTTTGTTTCAACCTAAATACAGGATGTGATAGATGAGTACCCACACGATAACCACAAAAAGAATTCTAGATTCTTATTTTTTTCAAGTCAGAACCTGAAACTCACAATTCATTGAAATATGTGACTTTTGTTCTCATTTCTGTTTTCTTTGAGTTTTTGCAACAAAGCCGTCTAAGTGTAGCGACATACAGCTTTATCTGAACTGACTCAACCTATCTGGCCCTATACATGTCAGCATTCACTATGTTTAGTTGTTTTCCATAGGCTTGTGAGCAATACTACAGCCACATCAGAGATAGATAATGTAAGTTTTTTCCTTATACTTACATTATTCAGCTCTTTCCAAATATTTTCACAATCATTCTTGAGCTGTATTTCAGTTGGTATTTGCTCAGCAGACATGTGGTCATCTTGGTCAGTAACTTTGTGGTTATTTCCATCTCCTGAAACAGCTATGCTCTCTTCAAAGCTTAAGGAACGCCTGACATCTTTGACACTCTGAGAATGTAAGTTGTAAATGCATTGCAATCCTCAATAAGGAATCTGCCCAGTGAAAACTTCAAAATTCACTTAGTGTAGAAGCACAATAACCTGTTATAGTTAATTAACCACTTTTCTTTGTTGGAGAACAGATTTTGTGACAAACAAAGTTTTAAACTGCATCACTATCGATTGAACAAAACATTCTCTTACCAGATTATCAGATGTACTCAAAGACATGTTGAATAACAATTAAACCTCCTAGGTAAAATAAAACACAAAATGCATATCACTAAAAGACCATTATATGGGAAACTTTAAATAAGCTAACATCCTTCACTGCATCAAAAACATATACCATATATACTCTCAAATCAAAACAGTTACATAATTAACAACTATACAAGTGGAAGTGGTTATAGTGGTGGATATTTACCAAGCCGAGAGGCAGCGAGGTAAATATCCACCGCTAACCACCAACATCGAGGTGAATAGTTGTTTTAGTATATACTAAACCAGTGAGATATATAATATACACCACCAAAAATTGATTTGAGTGATTTCTTCGCTTGTCACGGATGCAAACCGGGACGCCATTTTTTCCTGAGTTGCTCGGAGATAAATAGCAAAGGATATTCGAGTTTGACTAGCCAATCAGAGCGCGCCTTCAACGCTATCCACTGTTTTAGTATATACTAAAAACCAATATAATTTTGTTTGCCTTCCTTTTAGAGAATAGCAACTACAAACATGACAGAGGTACTTATGGGTCAAGCTGGTTTCAATATAAAAATTATAATTTAAACTAATACATGGCATAGAAAATTTGATGGTACATGGCTTCCCTAACAGCGCAGCATTATGCGTATGTTCAAGATCTGAACTATTCAACCGCAATATCAAAAAACCAATCACAGTGAAGTACAAGTTTTTTTGCATGCAATTATGTCAAAAAAAATAATTCAATAACAATAACAATCTGCTTGCTTCAAAACAAAGATCCAAGTTCAACATTTTGACCCCAATCATAACTGGCACATGCACTCAACAGTAAAAAGATGGAAAATTAAACCTGGTAACTATCAAACTTCCTTGAGGTTGCAATAGCAATATTTCAGCTCTTTAAACAAACACAAAACCTTGGCCTTGAGCAACAAAAATCTAAAAAGTGGGATACTTTACACTTGCACAGCAAGCCATCCTGGAGGTAGTAAGTTTAAACATAAACAAAGATTAGCTCCTAAAACACCATCATATTAAAAAAATTCATATCTGTTCCTGTTCCAACACAAATGCTATACATGTGTTAAAGAAGATCAGATGTGGAAATCAGATGCGAAAATTTTTAATGCAGTTTTACTGAACAATCAGGGGACAAGTTTAGACATGCAAATTAATGCTTCTTTATACAAAAGTGGCTTTTTGACAGCCTGTCGACGCTTAATGAGGAGAGTATTCAGCAAAAATGAATGTTTCCCTTTAATTGCAAAAAAAGGGTAATGATTATCACTAGTTTTAACTGAAAATAAAAAAAATTAAGTTAACAGTCAAGTCACCTGAGGAGACGCCATGAGGCAGTTGATCGATAACACTTCGAACGATGAGTCTTTAATCTTATTGACATCTGTCAACTAGTAAATGATATTTAACCCTTGCATAATAAAAGCATAACATTACATTTGATAAATAGAAAGAGGTTGATCCTGGTCTCCCTCTAAAACATAGCAGATTATAACATCGGAAGTTTATGGAATACACTTCAATAAGCTAATCGTATTGGGGGTAAGTTTTAAAATAATTGACTTTCTATTGGAACGCAGGAACTGAAGATTTCACTTATTTCTCATCTCCATTCATGTTTTTTAAAAACCACGGGATAGATTTTCCAGAGAGAGGATTGTAACGACAAAGATGCAGTTTTTCCACTGATAAATACCTGAAGTAACACCATTTAAAATGTATAACAGTTAAACATCCTAAAAGAAATCTCTGATTTCAACTGCGAGCCGCCATGTTGCTAAAAAGGCGCGAAATTGTCATTATATGAGGTAAAAGAGCTTTCTTTTAAAAAAAAGAGATTTCTTTCGAGCTAAAGAGCATTTCGATGGTACGAAACAAAACAACTGACCGTCAGTTTATACGTATAGGTGCAGATCTCCACGATTACAAAAGACGCATTTGCTCATCGCCGAATCAATAATCAAATACAAGCGCCTTCGACTCTATGTTGACAGGCCTGGGCAAGCACTTTACGCGCGTAATCATGACATATCACGTGATACAAATTTGAGTGACAACACTCCATGAATGAACTAATTTTGACCGGCATATTGTTGCAAATAGCCAATCACCACCGTTAAATTGTTGTTGATATAGCAACTTGCGTAAAAAAATTGAAAGGACAATGGCGTCGGTTACGGTCCGTAGTAAGAATTTTCTGCCTTCCCGGCTGGCGGTCGAAAAGGTTTGATTTTCGCGTAATCTTAGCGAGACAGGCTACAAAATCGTTACATCTTGAAGAAATTCGCAAAGCTTTTGTGCGATCGCACTTTTCTTTGACACTAATTGTGACAAACTCGAGGTAAGTGTGGAAATTTTCATTCAAAAGCACTCTGCGATATCAAGGACGGCTTCTGCAAGCCTGAGCAATACTTGCGCCGAAAAGAGCTTACAAGTGAACGATACGTGATCTCGCCTCTCTTTCGCTCGGGTTTGGAAATCGAAATGCGATGTTTCATTGCGTAGATCATGTATTCTGGGATGTTCCAAACAAAGTCCGGACATGATTGATCAAAGTACAAAAAATTTCGAAAAGTAATGACAATAATACAATAGTCCCATATCGTAAACAAGTGACTGGAAGACGACTTTGATTCTTGTTCTAGCCTATTTCTAAGCCCTTTCGTCGTTAATCAACAGATTCTATACTTGTTTTCTCTTTAAAAGGACAGTTTCAAAATATTTTCATCGGGGATTCCCCCAGGATGTTACAAGTTTTTTCTCAAGGTCGCTCCATAGTGGATTGCAATCATACGACCCGGTGAAGTTGTTTCCATTTGGAAGCAAAACTGAGAACATCCGTTTTAAATACTAATCAGTAGAAAAAGATTAATCTACGTAATAGAGGCTATACAAGCACAGCACGAAATTGTTTTAGAACGGGATTTTGTGGTGAATAAGTTGCCTGCTTTCATGAGATCCGTTTTCGATAAAAAAGACCTATCTTTCAATGACATTCCTTTACACAATACCAAACCGCAAGAATACGTCCCAGCAAGATCATTTAACTATCAAGTTTAAAACCTCCTAAAGGTCATTCTAGAACACAAGATCGCACAGTATCAAATATATTACATGGATGATTTGTTCGCTTTTGTTTGAAATGTTCTGATGTGGAAGAAAGAGGAGCTTTCGTTTAAAAAAATACTGACTTGGTGAAGGAATATTTTTACTTCTATTGTAATGCAAATTCTGAGATCAGGTGAGGTCTTCCATTGTTCATTGTTGGTCTAGTTCAAAACAAAGACTTCTTTCATAGCGATAAAAACCTCCGGAAAATGCCAATTTTCTACCGATTTCTTTCAAAACACAACTCTGTCGGGTGGTTTAACTTGAAAACAAACGAGAGAAAGAAAGGAAATCGAAGCTAGACGATTTGCTTATGATAGAATCGATTGTTTTCGAAGTGTGATTGAGATTTGACAGACATGTTTACGTACTAGAAAAGCAAGTGCCTGTTGGTGCACGGATTTTTTATTTCGATTGAAATCATAGATTTTGAAATATGTATCTAATGTAGTTTATCATCTGTCTTCTAATTTTACAAAATCTTCAGCTAGTCTTGAAATGTACCGTGAAAGCGCGGGACAATTCTCAAAATGTGGTTGTTTATCGAGACTCAGAGCCGTTATTTTACTGAAGTTTAAAAATAATTGTAATATCAAAGAGCGTTTGCTGCCGCCAATATTACATTATTCAAAATTAATCCAAACATATTGATTTTTGGCAAAGGAAGGTTTAAATATTGATTTCCTGAATCCTAAATCCACTACTGACATTGAAAGATTGTTATATTTATTTCATTGGTTAAAATTTCAGGTCATTTCTAAATATATAATTAGCCTATATTTAGTCCAAGATATATGTTTTTCATTACCGCCTTCACTAAATGATAAGGCTGCTAAATTGAAATGAAGGGCTCAAGCGGTAACGGTGCACTTTTCTCAGTACTTGCATAACGCTTATATGTTCCAACGGCTTCGTACACGAAAAACAATTTCGAGAAATCTAGTCTCTTAAAACTTTATTCCTAATCTATATAAGTTGATTTCTTATCAAATTAAATCTAAATGTGTCGTATATCTTGACTTGCAGTTTTTATCAACCCTAAAGTTTTTACCCAAATCTAGAGAAAGACAAGTTCGTTTTGACCATCCGTGAATGTTTATAACTGATGTCTCTAGATACATTTCTCCGCAACACCGAAATAATATTAATTCATTTATGGAAGAAAACACCTGAGAAAGCATTGATCTAAACTCGTTCCTCCAGACCACTGGACTGAAGAACAATCCTATAGCCTTATTAAGCTTTTTAGAGATATCAGTATCTACTGCCATTTTGGACTTTCGCAAAATTACACATCCCGTGCATACATCGAGAGCTAACCTCTCCACACTGAAAACTAGCCAAAGGCGTAGTATATAAATTCATTTTTATATCTTTTCTTCGCCCTTTGCTTGACAATTTACGAATGACATAGGCGGTGCATTCTAAAATATAGACAAACACCACAACAATGGTAGAAGAGTGTGATATTTATTAAACATCCGTTTTCTAAGGATCAAATCGGCTCTATTAGGCTAAACAACCGAAAACAATTTTATAGCATTCATTGCATTCAAGCGGAATATTTAGGTGCAGTGATAACCTTTTGTGAAGTCGCTCGTAAAATTAGCGTGGTCTTGTAGTGAAGCTTTGCCACAAAGCTCTTTGTCTTTCTTGACAAACTTTTGTGAAGACCTGAGTTGGGTTCGGTCAACATGACGCCAAACCAGCGAATGTTTACTCATCAAATTGACATCCTTACAGACATTACGGACTAGCATCGGTAGTCTGAGGTCTCCGGCTTTAATTTTATCATTCCTCTTTTTTACTGGAAATTTAATTAGGAGAATACCGTTAAGTGTTTAATCTGATTTTATCCAAAGCATTTTTTTCTGGTTTATAATTATGTTAGCGCCTCGAAACACTGAAACACTTCATTCATGATGTTTCTTTTTTTTCTTTTTTTTTTTTCACTAATTCACTTGCAGTAAGTTCACTTTTTTTATCTCTGAATGAACATTTTTTTTATTTTGTTACCGTTCGCCACCTATTTTTGCTTATTTTCGAGGGCCCTCAATTAAGTGAAAATTTCTCACGGGAATGATTCCTCTTCTTCTCCAACTATTCTTGAGACAAATATATCTTATATATGTCTCAGTGCGTTTTTAAAGAAAAGTGATTTATTTCGATTCAGACAATATGTTGACAGAAATCCACGCTGTATTGATGAAGGAGTGGAATTTCTGGTAGGAAACGGAAACTGTAATTTTTTAAGCCGTGAAAAGAAGCGCCTTTTCAAACAACGCCCGTACTTTATTGAAATGTTGCACTGGTATTTTGTTGTAACTGGGTTAAGCCATAAAGGTTAATTATTCTGAATTGAAAATTTGACTCTGTCAGTGTTACTGTTTTGGCTGTAAAATTTTTCGACGCTTAATACTGATAGCTGAGCTGTATGGGAAGTAAGGTCGAGTAGAGAAGTAGTCATTTTCAAGTAACAACAGATTTTGTGCTATTGAACACGCTTGGGCAAAGTTTGTGAAATGCAACTGTGGCTACGTTTCATGCGTCGGGCGAACCATTTTCTTTCCTTTCTCACATGATGATTTGTTCTTGCAGGTTTTATGTTTTTACATAGCTTTTAGATCGTTTATATCCTTAATTTGAGATGGTAAAACTGAATGATGCGTTGTCTCTCGGTTGTCACAACTTCATTGAGTCAGTGAAGATAGGAATTTATAAAGGTAAAGTTCGTTACCAGAGATCGATGCACCTCATTACTGCTTGGTTGTTATTGTTTTTTATGTGTGGTTGCAATAATTTAGGTTGTAGACACTGCACAACAAAAACTGCTTGTTTACAGAAATTAGACTGTGATATCGTCAAGGGGAATTTACCTAAGCGACTTTCAGTTTCGTAAAAAATGACAAGATGTGCAGATTTATGGTTGCATGCACTTGTTTCCGAAACAATGGTTTCGATTGAGATCGTAATTCGTCAAAAAGTTGCATCTTATTGCGATACACGGCGTTTTCACGACGACAAGTTACTTGGCTTTCCTTGCTTTATGCTCTACTTCAGCTCTTTCAAACTGAAAAAACTGGCATTGCATATAATGCATTACCAATTTGATTCAGTTTTCTTGTATACTCATAAAGTTGATGAATGTTTTGCGGTTGACTGACGAACACTCGTAAATCGAAGACTTACTAATTGACCACACGGTCAGAACCGCAACTATTTGAAGAAACATCTTGCAGTTTAGACGCCGAAGTATTTTTGAAATATTTTGTCTTACAATTGTTCCCTTATGAGAAGTGTTTCGTTATAATCAATGGTGAAACTGAAAAAATGAATCGATGTCTAGGCCTCTAAGTTTAGTCTACAAACTTCTGAATTTGATTGTATCGTAAATGAACTTTTGAAGACCTAAGAACTTTAATTTGCCGTAGGCGGCCAACTACATCAGTTAACCATGCATGATACAAGGTTTAACACTCATATCTTTATGGACTTATTTCCAATTGTATATGTAGAGACAAAATTTTGAATTTGGTTTCAAAACATTTAATTCTCATGTTGATGCGCTCCGCCTCATTTGCGTAAGTGAAACTTTAACAGTGAAAAGCTTTTTTAAGATTAAGGTGAAAGATAATCAAGAGTTGGCAAACAAACTTGCCATTGGCATAATAAAATTTGTTAAATTCTGAACAGGACAATTTTGACGAAAATGTACCAGTTTCTCGGAGGAAACAAGTTTGTTCATTGCTCCAAAATCTAAGCAATATTTATATCTAATATCTAACCAAAAAATACCCAACCGGCACGCAACTGAACCAGCGTGGAAATGGAGGCGTACTGCCATGGAAACACTTGAAAAATCTTTAATATTTCATTGCACTTCGCTCCAGGAAGTCCATTTCAGGAACAATAGTCTAATTGCGCAAGGAAAAACCGAAGTGGTCTGAACGGACTCGTTCCGATAACTTGCGGTTTTTCGAATCATGATTCGCTGTCTCGGTGCAGTTCACCTTGGCTGTTAATCTTTGAGTTTCTTATCTTATTCTTCTCGTGTTGGTTCAAGTTGTTCAGAGTGGAACGAAGATTTTCATCCTTACAAGATCAATTTCAGGTTTGGCGTAGTTTCAAATGTTGTATTTCCTCTTTGGTTCAACTGTTTTTTCGCACTAGACGTTGTAAACGCACATTCATAAACTTCCCTATTTCAGAGGTTTTCTCATTTGACTAAATTTGCATTGTCTTAAAACAGAAGACTTTGCCTTCTGTGGCAACGATAGACTTAAGTTTTCCTTACTGTTTTCTTTGTATACTCTCTCTCAAAGTTGTTAAGTTACTCATGACAAGCACTGTATTTTGCATAAGGGATCTCTAAAATATCGCGAAGTTTTGTCAAATCTTGCCCAGTATTTGAAAAGCCCTTAGTACCGATTCGAAGTTTTATCACAGATTTATAAAATTCTCTAGTAAAACCTTCAGGTAAATTATCAAATATGATGCGCCGAACCGCATAATGAAAATTGAAAGTAAAACTGATTTGTCAGCATAAGTATGAAGTAATTATCGAAAAGGAATGCGTCGAATTGACAAAACTTCGCTGAACGGAACTCGAACTTTATAACGTCATCAAACCTTTCAAATTTCGAGTGGGATTTTCCAAGTGAATTTTTCTTTCCTTTGACTGATTATATCTACTGTCAAACTCGAAGCTCAGGTGGTAAGCATTCTTTAAAGTTTACTTCATAGTGTGGTCATTGTCTCGTGTTGGGCGATTTCATTAATCAGATCTTGTGGCGGGTCGCGTGAAACTAACGCCGATAAGGAATTTTTGTTTCCGTTTTGCCATACGGAATAAAATTCTACTAAAGAGGCGGTTTTAGTTCAAAAGTGAAACGTATCGAAAAATGTTGAACAACTTTAGATGTATTAGCTAGCCGATTAGGTTGTATTTACAGCTTTGTTATTTCTCATGCGTAACGCAGTGTACTTGCTAACGAGGGCTGATGTAAAGGCAGTTTAGTTTTAATTTGACTGTTGAAGGGTTTCTCAAAACTATAGAAGAACATGGCTCACAAAATTTTCAGCTCAGTCACCAAATGATAAAAGACGTGAACCCTTTTTTCAATTATAAGGTATTAAGAAAAAATCTACGTTTTCTGCCAGAATTCTGGCCTCGAGCTCTCAGATTTTGCGGAGCGATTTTGTGGTGCGATTTTCTAATTTTGAGCGATAGAGAACTGCCGTCTTTATTTACATTTAAGACTAAAATAATAACGGTTAGTACGTATTCCAGGAAACTATAAATCATTTGGACACATCGCTGATATGAAAGTTGGCCGATATAAAACCACTAATCCCGTCAAAATTAGAAGTTGAATGTTTGTTGTTTTAAGTACGTAAATGTTCCAGAATTTGCTGATAGAAGTATCGCGGATTGGTTTTTAAACCGATTTTCATTCATCTCTGAATTTGTCGTGATAAAAAAAAATTCCCGTAAACACATATTATATTACTGTCTGGCTAACAGTCTGGCGAGGGATTAAATCAAATCTTTATTTCGGTGAAAATAAATGCAAATATTCTGGGCTTTTCCAAAGTATATGACCGGTCAAAACTTGCTTTCCATAGTTAGGTTGTTTACTATAGGAAATAGAACCCCTCCTTCATTTAGGTTTCGCTCGCCGTAGGTGAGGCACGTCTTGAACTTATCTGTGGAAATTTTTTTTCTCGTTTTTAGTGATTCCTGGTTAATTTTGTTCCTGAGGGATGCAGCCAATTAAAGAAAGGCAAATAAAGCCTTATCAATGCAAACATTGTCCGAAGTCTTTTAAGAGCTCCAACGGTTTGAAATATCATTTGGATAAGGTACACATTGCAGAAGAGAACATGATGGAAGAAGAGACCTGCTATGTAATGAAAGGTATGATGGACAGATTATGTATCTCAAGCTTGTTCGTAATTGATTTCAAGAAGGGCCGGAATTTTTTAGTAGTTGCAGACGCTTTTCTGAACAAGCCTGGTCTCAGCCCAAACAAATTCCAATAAATGCTTTCAATGAAAACATGTTATCATCCTTTCTAAATTTATAGCCACATTTTAAAACCAACAGCATTTGATTGACAAAAGTGAGCCTTTTAAATTTTAAATAATTGTACTAAAGTAAGATCCTCATTTCAAGGAAGATTTTATCCATATTTTGCTTGTTTTTTTTTGTTTGTTTTGTCGCATCGTTTCAAAATTTGTCAGACAAAAAGCTACTTCAACCGTTAAATCGTGGTGTTAGGTCTAACAGTTCTAACACTGTTTTCAATGAAAACAGTCATTATATCTTTGATGTTAGATAAGTTGTCCGTAAACTGTTGTGAATTAAGTCCAATTGACAAAATACTTCAGTGTTTGGTAAATTTATCAGAGAGGGCTGATTAATCAATTGCATGTAAAATTCTGATCAATCTCAGCGATATTTTAAGTGGAGTTGGCATCCGTTTCCTGTCTGCATAAAAAGAAAAGTGGAAAATAAAAGTTGCTCAAGTACACTCGCGAAAAAAAAAATTAAAGGGATTTAACGGATTTTATTTCACTTGTCAGCTGAGATATTCTTTCCTAATAATCTCTCGCGGGTGTACTTAACTGATGATGTTTCCGAAAAAAAAATATAAATTGGTGTTTCCGAAAAAAACCTCCAAACAGCTAAACTCAGAAAAGTATCTTCCGAACAAGCGTAGAAAACGACTGATTCTGGCTACTGATAACCGTCAAATCTTTTAGTCAGTCACAAGACATAAATATACGACAAGTCGGACTGATCAAGAACGAGATACGATTTTATTAGCTACGTCCAATTTGATTAATACAGAAAACACGAACAGTTTGATGTTTCAAAAAAATCAAAGTTATCTCAAATGGGATGCCTCACAGAAGAATATTAAATAGAATGAGAAGACGATAATCTTTTTGTCCTTATCTCAGCAAGAATGGATCTGAGAGACAAACAGATTACAATTAATCTTTAATAACTGAACCAGCTCCGTTCAACACGGCACATAAGGAATAACACAACAAATGCTCGGCGCACGCTATGTCGATGCGTATCCTAAAAAAAGTTGAATTTAACCGACATCTTATGATTTCACCAAAGTCAGCTGATTCTTGCCGGTTTCCGGCCACGAGATTATTTCACACGATGGCAAATGGTAATAAAATTCTGAAAATAGAGTTTGTAAAGAGGGGAATGACTCAGAAAGCACGTGATTATGGTGGAAGGGATATCGTGTGTTTAGAAATCCGGTTGCAAATATTACACTCCAAGGCTTGGCTTTTACGTTGGGGAAAACAATTTCTTTCAGTTGAATTTTCAGCCTGGCTGATATTTGCGACCGAGTAAATTCCTGAGACAATAAAATGCCTAAAGTTAATTCATTCTTTGATACAGAAACACAGAAATTAAGTTAAAACAGGCCACAGCGCTTCAATCAAAAACTTCGAGTGGAAGACGACTTTACACTTTAAAATTAAGTTTCGCAACTGATTCTCTCCTTAAACGCGTTCCGGCCCATGTCCACTCAGATGCTTTGAAGCAGTGTGAACTTAGGTTAGAATAAACAGTCAAGTGTAGATGACTGTATTTTAATTTGGGGCATGCCATTGCACGTATACAAAAAAATGTACTCACTTGCTGTTTGAATAGTGATTGTGCTACAATTTTTATTGTCTCAGAAATTTTTCGTTTTTCGCAAGTAATTGTTTAGAAAGCTAGTTTCGCTGGAACTAAATGATCGTGGTCTGGTCACATCATTCAAAATCGGCTATTCATCATTAAAAAGCGTGCGGAGGCTAATAAAGCAAAGTATGGTAAACGATAGGTTTTAGCAATATGCAGGGCGTATTTCGCATTGTTACTATACTACATTTATATTTATATAATTACACGTATACTTAAATACACGTATATTTGTATGTTTGTGAGTGTAGTGTCTGACTCTACCAGTAATTTAGAGAGATCTGCAAATGGTGGAAATAAACAAATATTGTCATTGTTATTGTTACAAACCAAGTGTTTTACTTGCGGCTCGCTGACGAAATCTTTTATGCTCAACTGATAGAGCATCTGAACGTGAAATGAAGTTTGAGCCCTTTTTTCATACCACACTCATGAAAAATGTTCAATATTTTTCATTAGGATGGAATCAGCTGCAGCTAAGTTACTACAAGTTGCATGACAACTCACGATAATACGATAAAAGCGTATGTAAGCTGTGTAACCAGTATTCTTCGAAAATTTTTATGCTTGATAATCTTTTATTTTCAGTTTTGATGTTCAAACTACCCATAAATAAAGAGTGCATTGTTACCAAAGTTTAATCAATAACAGTTAGCTTTAGATTATGACATTTTTATTAAGAAATTGCTTTTTTGATGACCTCAGTCATCGAATTCGGCATTTTATGACCAGTCCTCAAAACAGGAATAAAATTTTAACGCTATCAGTGTTTCTCTTTTTGTTTTGTTTTTTTGTTTTTGTTTTTTCACCCGTCAGCCTGTTGCATTTAGACATTTGGTATTCACCCGTCAGCCTGTTGCATGTAGACATTTGGTATTCACCCGTCAGCCTGTTGCATTTAGACATTTGGTATTCACCCGTCAGCCTGTTGCATGTAGACATTTGGTATTCACCCGTCAGCCTGCTGCATTCAGACATTTGGTATTCACGAAGGTTTAGCGCGAAACTGCCGTAAATCATTTGGTTTTTCGTATCACGATCGCGAGTCATTGAAGATTAGAGACCCGAGTTACTATTTATCGTCTGGGATGGAGTCGGAGAATTTGGGGGGGGGGGGAGGAATCACATGGTTTTCAGGGGGAGCTGAGAGGGGATCTGTCTTTGCTGACAAAGTTTCAAGTGGGAAACAATAAAATGCGTTCAATTTCATGATCGAAATATTGTTCTTTATTTTTTATTTTATTAAACCTTGTTTTTCTTTAATATTTAGAAAACTCCTCACAAATGCCTGAAAAGCCTCGCACTGTTCCCCCTGCTCTGAATCTACTCACAGAAGAAGTAACTTTGCTGACGGAGTTTGCTCTGATTGCTACCAGTCCACAGAGTCCTTTGGTGAGAGAAGTCTGGGGTGAGAACTCTGATGTCAGGCGCCGTGAAGACGACAGCCCACCTCCTCAGCTTATTATGGTATGTAGATAGAGACTGGGAAGACAGGGGATGGTAACTAACATATTAATTAAAGTGCACCTTTAATTAATATGTGTTGCGCGCATAACTTCAAAGCGCAATAAAATCGTCACATCTTTCTTCCTATTGCCGGAAAGATGCAACCATATACAGCGAAAATTTTGTAATACTACATACTGTAGGAGCACATTATTATATATTGTCGGGGGAAGGAGAACCAGAGGATTTTTGTTGTTGTGTCACAGTAACATTTCCCGGTTCTTCCCCCTCCCCCCCCCTACCCATAAGGCTCTGTAGTACTTTGATAATCCCCCCGCATCGGAAGTCAATTTTTTATAACACCTCCTTTAATCTCTATTAGAGACGAATGATCTCCCTCCGTTCTCCCTGGACCCCATGTGATCCCCTAAAAATCCTCCTCCCCCCCCTTCTATATACGATAAATAAGGAAATAAGGAGTGGTCCCTTAGTCAAACCCCCGCAATAAATGACTAGTTTCAGTGATACACTCACAGAAGACCACGCTCAAACACGCTGCCCAAGGTTGGGTTACTTTGGATGAACTTATATTTCTATACCTCTGAGGTTTGCGCGAACAATACTCCTGCTTAAAAAAAGAATGTCCTCTGCACACGTAGGGTAAAGTGTCAACAGTTTTACAAATTATGTACCCAAATGTACTTTAAGTCTATGTTATTTATGGAAGGTTTTCGACTTCTTCGCTAAGAACAGAGAAATCTAATATTTTCTTTTTCTTTTTTTTTTTTTTTTTCCAATCCTTGTTTCTGTTGTTTCTTCGCCTATTTATACTTTCTACCAAGAGAGTTTTTTTTCTACTGTCACTGCCCGCCGACAAACCGCCAGTTTACGTGGTCCAGGCGGTTTCTGCGTCCGACTATAAATACTGAGGCCATACCTAACAAAATAAAAACTGCCAACGCAAATACATTATTTTCGCGTTTCCGTTTACGTAAACGTGTCGGTAAATCAATATTTTTAGCTGCATGATATTTCGATATTGGCTTGGAATGAAAACTGTTGTTTCCAAATAAAGAAATTTCTAGATCACAGCGCCTTCCGAATGACCTTTCTTTGAACTGAAAGGAAATTCCATTTTGATTGCATATATGGGCTAAAAATATTTAACTAGGTCCACCATTTCTAGGAATCTGTAAATATGCCTGAGGCATGGGAAATCCGTGATTTCTTGGAAAAAAACTTCTGGCGAAATAAGATTGAATTTAAGAGTCGATCGATCATTTATGATATGAGGTGTGAGAGAGTTTTCAAATCTATTACAATATCAAAGAAATATGTAATTATAGAGTTTAAAATCTTTTTATGATTTTCATTTTAACAAATTCTAAAAACATAGTTAACGGAGTATCACGACTTTCAATAACAATATTCACAATCTTTGAACCTAGTTTTCAATACTTACGGCTTTCGAAATCTATGGAATTTTTTATCGGAGATGTTTACTTTGAAATGAATTGAACTGGGTTCAGAATTTTTTTTTTTTTTTGCTTTCTTATTCAACTTCGAGAGATTTTCGATATTTTTTGGAAGCTTTTGCGAGACATGTTTCGTGAGTGTTTGACAGATGTTAGTCTGCTTGCGTGGCCTAAATGAACACAAACGTCAAATATTTTATCTTTTTTCTTATTTAGGATCTTCAATCTAATGGTAATTGGCGATATGTGTCACAAACCACTCCAGAAACTCCGATACAAACAACTTTCCTAAACACTATACCAGCTGCCAAATGGCAATATTTTATGGCGGGAACCAAATTGAATTTCCCTGACGAAGATGGCTGGACCTGGCGAACGGTTGATGATCTCGATATGGAAAAAATATCTCCTGATTTGTTTCGCGATGGACTTCGAGTCGTAGACTGCCAGAGGATTGAAACGAAATATGGTAACAATACTATGGTACGTTAGATCTTGGTTAATCAAAAATCAACTGCACCTGTTGCTTAGCCGGTTTAAGTTACAAGTGTAGCTATTCATTAGAAGGAACATTTGGCCTTTCGAAAGCCTCCTTGTCTTAAACCGCTGACTGATTTACTGCTTCAATAACTGTCTAACAGACGGATTAACTTATGTAGTAACTGATCGCTGCATAAGTGACTTACGGGTAAATGAGGCTGAACCGTTAGATGGCCAATCAGAGTACTAACAACCGAACGATCAACTGACTCACTTACCAACGTTACGTTGGCTAACTCGTTTGTCCATTAGCAAATTTTACTAATGCCCTGACCAAACGCTAGGCGCTAAAACTTTGTTTTGTTTTGTTGTTTTCCTTACTAGGATGAATACATCGTAACTTTCAAATCATGCAGTGATAAAGAAACAAGTCTTCAGGCTGAAATCACCGCTGACCATCCGTTCTTCGTCAAGGGAACAGACACAGCAGGTTGGGCGTCGTTTGACCCTGTTGCGACCGAATCGCATTATGGGATAAGTTGCCAGCCCTTGCAACGTGGTGATGTCTGTGTTTTGCCACATGCCCCAGAAGTTGTGGGATTAACTTTGAATGGAAATGAATTGGATGGAAAGGAGAAAACGTACGTCAGATCACCGCGTCTTCTTTCTCACACAAGCCGAGTTTGTTGTTGATTAACAATATTTTCTTTTTCTTTCTTAGGTCAGAATTTACGGCTATGGATTCTACAGCCGCTCTTACGCTCAGCAGTATGGCCAAGGTATGTACAAGGCGATATTGACTTACCACCACCCCAGACCAGTGACCAGCACAGAAATATCAGATGATATTGAGCAGAAGAACTCAGTTGAAAACTACAGCATATTTATTTTAAGATTGTCGAAAAAATTTTTCCTTGAAGCCAACGACATATTAATCGAAGAAAAAGCGCAGAAAAAACAATTTTAGTCCCCGAAGGCGAAAACTAAGCCTTCGTGCGCCACAGAGCTATCAGTGGTCTGTTAGGCTATGTACGAGATTTATAACAAATGTGTATTAGTAAATAGTCTTACACGATTTGATTGGTTTTTTTTTTCTTGGTTGTTAAATCAATAATGATCTTTGTTTTTTGACACAGGATAAAGAAGAGCACAGTCACCGAAGAACCAAACTACTGTCAGGGTCCCACACTCCACTCAGCCCAGTCAAAAGAAACAATACGCATCAGTTCAGCAAAAGGCCAATGAACGCCTTCATGTTATTTGCTAAACGCTTCCGACTGGAAATCACTCAGGCTCATCCAGGCAAAGACAATAGGTAAACATAAAGGGATTGGCTATCGGCGACCCACACCAGCCTTGCTTTTTATCCTTAGAATGAAAAAAATAAAGATTGTTGCTGATGTTGTTCATGATCATGTTTTAATGCATCGTTGTTTGTTTTAGAGCAATAAGTGTGATCCTTGGTGACAAATGGAAGGCTATGAAGCAAGAAGATAGGCGAGAGTATGTGATCCAAGCAAAAATGTTAGCAGATGAACACAAACGAGTGAATCCAGACTGTTGGAAGAGAAAGAGAAACTCTGAGGTCAGTATACAACTCTTCTTTCTTCCCACATTTTTATCTAACAACTAGATCTCGAGCTCAAGATTTCTTTCGCGTGATAGCTGCAGCATTTCTGATACAACGCACGTAGATTTATATTGAAAATATGTATCAGCTATGGTTATAGTTAACAGAAAACACACCGATTGTTATGGTCTCTGAAGCGATGTTACTGGGCTTTTTTTATATTTGTCGTGACCTAAAGGATATGAATCCATAGTAATGAAAAACATGAGTTGAAACACAAGTCAGAGTGTAGTAATTTTAGAAATACAACTTTTAGCTTCTAGCGTTTGAAAGTCACATTAGGCAAGATGTTGTAAATGATGGCAAAATATTTGTTGAGAAACTCAACACAATCTCTTATTAAACACTAGTCATTTGCGCTACAAAGACGCGATGAAGGAGATTAGGCAATCAAAGAAATTGAATTCTCAAAAAAAATTCCTAAGTCACATATTCTTTTCATATATATCGCGTGAAGTTTCGTAAAAGTAACTTTCGCTTTAATTCCTTTGCAGGGTTCCTCCAAGATTAGCTACAGGAGACCATAAAAGTGTGCGGCAGTAGATCTCCAGATGCCTAATATATATTCTTTTTTAGATCATTTTGTAATATATGATATATTTTAAACCAATTCAAAAGAATTTTTTCATTAACGGAAAACAAGGCATTAGTTATACTATGTATAACGTATTTAAAAGCTTCTTTGTAAATAATTCAACATAGTTGTGAAATGTTTTTTATTGGGTTATGATTTTTATAGAATAGTATTGAGAGTTTGGTAAGTTATTCTGTCATTAAACCTGGTTGTGATTAAATCAGCTTGAAAAACGAATTCTATGTCTCTGAGCCTCTTTTCGTAACGATTTAGAAGTATCTTTAACTCAAGCTAGAGATGACAGTTTTGAATCGCAGAGGTTCAAGCAGTTCTATGCTTCGAAATGTAGATAGTTAGCCAACGATCCAGAAGATTAATAAAAGTGTTCAGGAAAGTTCCCAAAGATTTCGGGATACATATTAAGCACCGGTGTTAGTTATATTCGCTATCTTCGGAATTCCGTAAAATTCCTTTTCATGTTTCGCTTTGCCCATTAACCCCTCAGAGAGACCGGCATCCAAAATTTCTCCTTACAACATCATCCTTTAATCAAACACTAAGATCACGAGGACAAAAGAAGTGATCCTCAGCTAAAGAAGCTCTTGATTATTAGACAAATTCTCCTCGTCAGAACCTTGGGAAATGTATAGAGAACAGTATGGAGAATATGCATACTGGTGTTAAGGTGTAAAGGGTTCATTTAAGTAATTTTGAATAGAACCTGAGTTATGGATCACTTCTATCAACAGGAGTACATCACTTGCATTCGTTTGTGACCCCGGCTTTTTTGTCTTTTTTAGTGATCAAGATAATTTGGTTTTATCAAATGAGTTGGTAATGTAAATTGGTGACCGTTAGGAGTGTTTGAAATTGATGCTTCGAGAGTAAGCCCACTAGTTAGAACCGTTCTCTTCGCTCCACTGACGCAACACCACAGTTTCTTTGGAAGTTTACCCCCCCTCCTTTACTAATTTAGTTATCTTTCGAACCTTGCTTGCTCGCTTCATTCCTCGATATCAAAATTATATCGCTCTTCCAGTCATTTAATATCGGTTTTCTCCATTTAATTTCATCAAATGACGCCGAACGAGTTTTCGTCTGCTGTGAAATTTCGAGAAACTGATTACACAGGTTGTTCAACTATAATTGTCCTATACAAGGTTATTCTACAGTATTAAACGCATGACTGAGGCACACGCAATGATTATGCCGGCTTTTCTCTTAAACGGAGTTTGTCAGATAAATCCTAATCATCCACATATACCCCAAGCTCTTAGGAGCTGTAAACATTATGTGGCATTGCCTCTTTTGTGATACTTGTGTTTCAGTGCATTCTGGAGCTGTTTTACAGCGATTCCGCTGTGTCTTACTTTCACAGTTTTCAAGACAAGGTTTCTTTGAACTGTAAAATTACCTTAGTTACAAATTAAACGAGAAATAAATTAAAAATGCATACAGTTGCTGGTCACCCAAAATAACTAAAGAGCTAAACTAGTTGGGTGACCACTAAACACGTTCGTTGCAATCCCAAAAACGCCTTAAATCAAGTTGTTACACAATGACATGTAATGTGATGTTCACAGCTTCAAAGGAGTTTGGAGGCCTGTGCTTCCCGTCCACGCAGTAAAATAGTATAGTGACTTATTTCCCTTCAGCTTGCAGTGAATCGTACTCTTACATTCCTTATAAAGTAACTGTAGACCACTCCATAATGCAGAATGAAGTTAAAAACGTGGGATTAAAACATTCCAAAGCATGTTTTCAGAAAATATTCTAGAATTAACATAAGATTTGGAAGGAAGTGTCGACAAAGTCCTAACTAAGGTTAACAAACTCTTAGGCCGGCTCGCTTGGCCACATTTGGTCAAGCCTGAATCTTAAGGCAACTCAATGTGCGTAGAATTCCCTCATTCTACCTGTTATTTGCTAGAAAGACACCGTTTGGGGATGGCTATCGATTACGTGCAGAATTTATTTACAGCGACAACAAACTAACAGCCGCTCGTATCATTATCGAAGAGAAAGCTTTAGAAAGGCTATATCGAGACGTTAGGCTAGCCTGAATTAGAAACCATTTGAAAGCGAAATAAATGCATTTTAGTTCAATTTTAAATGCTTGAATAACTTGATGCCAGAATATTTTTTAGTGATTATTTTATCAAGAACAACCGATGCCACTCAAATAGTACAAGATCGACTGGCGATGTTCACCTCCCCAGACCACTGGGAAACAGAGCAGGTAGATATTCTGAAGCGACCTTTTAAAAATTCTTTGCCACAAACCATCAAGCAAGCTGAATCCTTGCAGATTTTTAAGTGTCCAATTGAAATTATAAATTTTACAACTTCTATTTTTAACTTTTTTATCAATAGGGCTGTATGCGAATTTATTAAATCTTTTATTTTTCCGCAAAGAGTTTTAGGAATATATTTTTAGTTTTTATAAGCGATTAGTAATTTCTACGACAGTATTGTTAGTTTTAACATCAGGGCCCCTCTTGATACCAGCCTCGTAGCTGAATGGGTTGCCCTGATTAAACTAGGTTTATCTGTCTATTTATTTATCTATTTATTTAGTTATCTATCTATATATCTATCTATCTACCTTTCTTACTATAAATCCATCTATCTTTATTGGTATGAGGAATTATTATACGGCTTTGTGCAAAAGCAAGCAAGATGAAGCGATTGCCGTGTTCTGATAGATTCAAGACCCAAGCGTGTGTTACGAGTCGCTCGGGATTGCCCGCTTTGATCTTGAAGAAACAAATTTCTTTTGATCATAACCAATATTCAGCTATCCTAACCTCACGGTTGGTCAATAAACCGAGACCCCTATATTCAGCATGTAGTTGCTAATACGCTCTTATACATGGTACCGTCTCTTTCTCCATTCTCCATATCCTTGAATTTTAAGAGTGTAAGTTTCTTTACAAGAACAATCGATAAGTGAAACTTCTGACAAAAATCTTGATGCATGTCGCTGTTTCGGAGTACTAAACTTAAACAATCCCTTTGCCTGTCTGAAAACGATTACTTTGTCGTTACTTTCCGAACGGCAAAACGTGAATATGGAGAAAGTGTTTAATTATAGCAGTTTATACTGAAAAGCTGTCCGCAAATGTTAAGAGCCGTGAACATGGAAGATATTTAGGCACCGGATTCAAATGAGAGCAGAACGCATTACACAACGAATGTTCTCGAATCATTGTGAGACTGCTATATGTTTTTTTTTTTTCTCTCTCTTTGTGTTTCCTGCATATATTCTACGTCCGATATATGATGGAGGAAGTGAAATATGGGATATCATAACCACGAAAAGTTAGAAAATTGTTTTACCTTTCATTTCTTTAGTACATCTGATATATCTGTATATTTTATTCTGTTTTCTTACGATCTTCATTCCATTTTTTTCAAACACTCAAAGTAACCCGTAGTAAACTTGAAAATTTTTAAGCAATAATCTACACTTTCCATCGGTTTACTGGCTGATAAACCCCGCGGGATGTTGATAGAAGACGCGAAAGCTCTCGAGTGTTCTCACAACACCCCAAGTGTGTTATTAAGGCAGTAAACCGATAGAAAGTGGATTCTAGCTTTTGCGTTAGCCCCTCGTTAGATCGAATAGAGCGTAAAGAATTTAACAGCTGACGCTTCGAGCGTTAGCCCTTTCCATTCGCTCTGACGAACGGACAAACACTCGAAACGTCACCCTTGAAACGCTGCGGTGGTCAATTTACATTATCGACTTCCTTGATAAAACCCAAATTACCACATTATGTATCAATTTTTTATGGGCTTACTGGTGCAATAAACTATAGCTTTTGGCAAACAGAGTACTCGTAAAATCTCAGTTGTTTTGTAAAAAACTGAAGTCGGGAATAACACTGAATGCTTAGAAATAATTAATACGATGGCATTTACGCAAAAAACCAGACATGAAAGCATGCAATGCATGCTTTTGAATTATGGAGAGCATTTTCGTGAAAAACTTTGAGTATTTCTAAGTACGACTTGAAAGTTTCTTTCAAAAAATTAGACGTATGTCACAACTTTAAGTTATAATTCCGCTGATTCTCTGTTCTTCGTCATGAATCGCATCGTCTATATTCAAAAACGATTAAATTGAAAATTGCGGAAGTTACAACCTAGGTTCCCAGCATACCAAAAATCTGCTATGCGGATATCTTTTTCAGTGATTTCCTGCCCAAAGCCTCGCTTTTTCCTCCAATCTTCTATTGTTTCCTTAGTTTTGATTGCTCAAAAGTACTTACATTGTCTCTTAGGACACTAAAACTCATTGTTTCATTATAAGTTTCAAAAAACACTTAAGTTTCAACTACCCGTGAAACTCATCTCAATCAGTAGAGTTTCGTGTTTGAAGTAGGCCGCAGAATTTTCCCACGGATCGGCATGGATCTTATAAGTGCAATAAACGTCTGAAAACTAGAATAGAAGTTGAAGACAGGTTCCATAATTTGTCCATTATTGGCCAAAGTAACAAAATATCCTATAAATCTCGATTTTCTCATCACTAATATTCATATAAAAAGAAAAATGAGAAATACGTGAGCGCGTCTCTTCCCACGAAAACTTTCTGATAGACTCTCTTCTGATATTGGATTCAACTTTCGTATATTCACGCAAAAATAAGAACACTCTTTTACATACACGTAATGTTTCACTAACTCTCTCTAGGAAACAACGACATTTTCTTTCCCATTTTAGATTATTAGAGCTGACAAAAATGGTTTTCCGACCACTTAGAAGCCAAATTAAGCAGAGGAAAACAGATTATTATGCACTTCTACTTTCTCAGCAATTAGACTCAATTACGATTGATTAGGCATTGTCTTCTGTAACAGTTTTAGCAAAGGACAATTATTTTCAAGCTATAGAAGCTCAGGGAACAATTAAAAATATATATATACCATTTTCTACGGCGAAACAGAGATTAAGTGGCCGTGTAGACTGCACAGTGGTTTTGATGCAAATGTAAATTTTCTTATAAACAAATCAATATATGAATTACAAAACCCTGGAAATAATAGCTCTTGAAACAAACAAATTTTCCCTCAGCACCAACGAATGATTTTGGCTCTTTTATAGAGGCATCATAAAATTATGTGTGCAAAAAATTCTTTAGATATGCACACCAATTTTAGCGAAAAGGAAGGGGCTTCTGTGAACGGAAATGGAAGTTCAGTTGCGGTTTTCGATTTTGGAGAGCAATGACGAAGGTCTTCTACAAGGCATGCTTTGGTAAACGCTTCAAGTTGAGTATGAAAAGACAGATTACTGCTTGAACTATACACTCACCAGGCCTTATGCGATCCATTGAACTTTGAAATCAAATATTGCAGCCGTAAAGTTGTAGTTTAACAGTACCATTGGCCAATTCATTAAATGGGGTGCTGCGGGGAATGCTCTGACGTCACGGTACTTCAGGGGCTGGGGAGTAATTGCGCAACGATAGAGAGGGATGTGAAAACAGATTGCAGGTATCCAGTATCATCAAAAGGATAAAGGCTTTGCAGGATACGGAGCTACGGGAAAAACAGTTTTTCGTGAAAGTGAACAGACGACTCAAAAATGCCTCTCCTAGCTCGGGGCTGGCTGTTAGTTTTGGTTATTTCAATGTTTTACTCAAATCGGAGGAACGCCGTCTACGGAGGAATAAGTAAGTCGTTTTTTATTTGTTCTTATGTCTGGATTTCTTTGATCGACCTTCACTTGGCCTTCAATTGAAACAAAGTCAGCTGGGAGAGTGAAACTATTTTTAAACACAGGCGCACGAGATCTCTCTTGATCAACATTTGGTATTTGCTAGGCAAAGAGAGTCGTGTTCAAAGATCGCATCGCTTTCAGTTTCGGGCATCTTTTTTATGGTGATATAGTTCAACTACGTACATATCGAAAGGTTTTGGACAGATCCAAACACCTCTATTTTCTTGTTCCATTTACTTAAAGCAAACATAAACTTCACTGTAATCCTTTAATCCTATACTCAACTAATCAGAAATTAATTTGAAATTAGGAACGCATTTTCCAGATTCATCCCGCCGAAAATGTTATCGCGAAACCATGCGCATTTCAATATATTTCATTTTTTTAGAGCATGCCTTCTTGTCTAATTCTTCGGAATGGATTTTCTGAGAAGAATGTCGATTTTTGGCTTAGCAACTCTAACTGTGGGTGAAATTGAGATATGAGTCTTTCGCCTTTAGTTTTAAAGAGTCGATTAATCGCTCGAAAACTGAAATCCACGATATTTCCATAATATCAGGTTCGAAAAGCTATCCACGTTCATTTTGAGTAGCTTTTGAGTGAAGAAAATGATAACATCTTCACACTCTCCCGCCAGAGTAACTGGCTAATTTTGAAAAGTTATTGTTCAAATTGTTCATTAAGTCATCAAGGTAACTTCGCTGCAGGGAATAAGCGATCGATTATTATTGATTGTTGTTTAATGAAAGACCTTTTGTTAATCCTATTTGTATCTTTAGGCGGCCCTCTCCTTTTGTAACGAAATGTATCTCTTTCGATTGAGAAAAATCTTTCCGCCTTCGCAAACAAATAAATCTTCATGTACAAAGTAAAAAGATGGAGAGACAAAGAGCAAAAAAAAGGTTTCAGATATCGTGAAAACTCAGTTCCTTTTCCTGTCGTTAACAATGTTAAGCTTTGGGTTGGTCTTGAGAATATTGATCTTTCCCTAAAACCACGCATAAGCAGAGCAAGCATGCATCAGCAGACAATATTTGCCACATACTATACCATAATTTGGAATATTTTTCAAACCGCAAAATGAACAGTTTTAGAAACGAGTCAGTCCCAGAATTTCGGCAAATCAGATAGGTCCTCGTTCGGTACTTTGACTTAGTTAACAAACGAAGAATATTTCCAGACATCAAACCACAGCCGACCGGAGTTTATAGAGGGTTTCTGATCATTGAGAACAAAGGAAAGTCTTCGCGGTATCGATTGAAGAATCTTTGTTTAAGAGAGCTGATAACGCCATTAAAACGCTTTTTGTTGCTTACAGTTTGACAAAAATGATTGTTGAGATCAGTAATGAAAAACCTGTTTTTCATCACGACTTTTTTGCCATGGAGATCATTCGTGGTTTATTGACACTAACAACAATTTATTTGTAATTAGTTAACTAATGACAGAATCAATTCAATGCTCAGAAAAAATAAAAACTCACCAATATCAAGTGTTTTTTTTTAACGAACATCCGTGAACATTGAAAAAAAAAATGTTCCGCTCTTATTGAAGTGAAAACACCGTAATTACTTTGCAGCTAAGAAAGGTTGTAAATTTATGGGGTTCACAAACTGGAATGAGTGACCTACGCCGCGAAACGTGCCAAGTGAAACGCGCGAAAAGTCTTTAAAGACTTTGTATGATAAATATTCATATCTGCACGTCAATGGCGGTTTATTACGTGACGTTGTATTACTGGGTACGAATTTGTTTTGATGGTTTACCACTCCATAATTACTCTTTATGTTGGCTTCCCACCTCAACCGAGGTAAAGTTATTTTAAGAAAAAACGCTTTCTGAAGGAAAAAAGGGTTTTTTAAAATGATTTGTTCACGTAACATAAGTGTTTAAAGCTCCCAATTATTCTCACAAAGGGAAACTTGGAAAATGCTTCGGCCTCGGTTCTTTGCGTTATTAACTCTAGTTACGTGCTCTGTTTTCATAGGATCGTCAGCGCTGACATAAATGCATTGCGAGGCACTTGTCTCTCGTTAAATTTTCTGTAGTCTGGGAAGAATATTGACACTTTCCTTACATGAAAAGAAATGTTTGCCAAACTTGATGAATTACCACATTTTTTTCATGTACGGAAGCTCAGTAAAGTTTCTAGGGCTATACCTGACTTGAAAATTTTTCAACCATGAAAAAAAAAAAATTTTGCCAAACATGATGAGTTTGCCACATTTTTTCACGTACGAAAGCTCCGTAAAGTTTCTAGGACTCTACCTGACTTGAAAATTTTTCAACCGCGAAAAAAAAAAAAACTGGCTTTGAGTAACCGCTTACAATTAACGCCAAAAGGGGTAAACCTGCCTTGATGATCATAAAAACTTGAATGAACAATTGAAATGGAGGTGATATTACCGGGTAAGTACGGTTGAAATCAAGGGATAAAAACAGGAGTCCATTACCTGATAAAAATAAACGAACAATTCCAAAAAGGAACGATGAAAGATCATTTAACTGATAAACTAATTTTAGACGATAACATTACAGCATAATTCTCGTCCTAAATTGGTTCTTATCAATTCATCTACCGAGCTGCGAGTGACTGCAAAAGTCTTCTGACTGACTTTAAAAAAGTGAATTCCCTATTGTAGTTTTAAAAGCGACCAGAAATTTTTCCTTTCAAGATTGAACTAATTAAGATTTATATCTATCTTATTTTTTGCTGCTGATGCTGTTCTTATCATCATTCATGATTGTAATAATGATCACCACTGATACTGTATATTGATTGTTTTTCAGATGATTGTTACTCTCTCATCACTGCAAATTCAAAGTTCTCAGCTTCTTCGAGTCTCGTCCTTGGTGGTCCAGGGTTCGCAAAGATTAATGGGAACGAAACGTGGTGTGCAGCCATCCCAAACAATATGCAATATCTCACAGTCGACTTAGGTATGACACTTCCACCTCTAATATTTTAAATCAAAAGCAAATATCTGTGTTTTTAAAATCTTTTAAAGGAAAAAGGTTGCTTTAAACATCGACCTTCCAATAAAGAAATTGTCGGACAAAAAAAGAAGGACTCTCAAATAATTTTTAGAGATTAAGATTTCTTTTTATTATGTTGAGGGGAGGGTTTTATGATTACTTTCT